AAAATTTATACAAGCTATTTATTATTTTAAATAAATTCAAACTGACAGGAAAAATTGTAAGAATAGTACAAAGATTACAAAGATACACCACACACAGGAATAAACTCAAATGGATTGAAGATTTAATTAGACTTGAAACCATAAAAATCCTAGAAGACAACATAGGCAGTAAAACCTCAGACATTTCTCATAGCAATATTTTTTCCTGATATATTGTCTCAAGCAAAGAAAACAAAAGAAAAAAACAAATGAATGGGCTACATCAAGCTAAAAACTTTTTGTACAGCAAAGGAAACCATCAATAAAATTAAAAGAAAACCCACCGAATGGGAGAACATATTCACCTGTGATATATCTGATGGAGCTGATATTCAAAATTTATTTTAAAAACCTCAATTACAAAAACCCAAACAAGCCAATTAAAAAATGGGCAAAGGCCCTGGCTGTTGTGGCTCAGTAGATTTAATGCTGACCTGCAAACCAAACGGTCATTGGTTCAATTTTTAGTCAATGCATATGCTTGAGTTATGGGCCAGGTCCCCAGTAAGGGCATGCAAGAAGCAACCACACATTGATGTTTTTCTCCCTCTCATTCTCCCTCTTCTTTAGGAGAACCTCTCTCAAAAAAAATTTTTTAAATAATTTTTAAAAATGGGCAAAGGACTTGAATAGATGCTTCCCTAAAGAGGACATATAGATGGCCAATAGATACAGGAAAAGCTGTTCAATGTCACTAATCGTCAGAGAAATACAAATTAAAACCACAATGAGATATCACTTCACACCTGTCAGAATGACTATCATCAATATATCAACAAACAACTACTGTTGGCAAGATGTGGAGAAAAGGGAGCACTCATGCACGGTGGGAATGCAGATCAGTGCAGCCACCATGGAAAGCAGTATGAAATTACCTCAAAAACTAAAAATGGAACTGCATTATGACACTGCAATTCCACTTCTGGGAATATATTTGAAGAAGTTTGAAACACTAATTTGAAAGAATATATACACCCCTATGTTCATTGCAGCATTATTTACAGTAGCCAAGATTTAGAAGAAGCCCAAGTGCCCACCAGTAGATGAGTGGATAAAAAAGCCGTGGTGTATTTACACAATGGACTACCGCTTGGCTATAAAAAAGAAGGAAATCTTACCTTTTCTGACAGCATGGATGGAACTGGAGAGCTAAGTGAAATAAGCCAGTCAGAAAAAGACAAATACTGTATGATTTCACTCATATGAGGAATCTAATGAAAAACAAACAATGTAGAAACAGACTCATAAATAAAGAGAACAGACTGACAGCTGTCAGAGGGGAGGAGGGCTGGGTAGGTAGATGGGAAAGGTGAAGGGATTAAGCAAAGAAAAAAAGAAAACTCATTGACACAGAACAGTATGGTGATCACCAGAGGGAAAAGGGAGGAAGGGAGGAAGAAGAGGGTAAATGGGGGACAAACGGTGATGGAAGGAGACTTGACTTGGAGTGGTAGACACACAATACAATATACAGATGATGTGTTATAGAATTATATGCCAGGAACCTACGTAATTCTATTAACCAATGTCATCCCAATAAATTCAGTAAAAAAATTTTAAAGAAATAGAACAAAGGAATGTGTTTGTCCCTGAGCCATTTGACAATAAATTGCTGATACGATAATATGATAATAATATTACAGTACTTCAATATGTATTTCCTACACACAAGCACATCTGCCTACGTGACCACATAGAGCCATTCCAATTAGAAAGCTAACAATGTGTGCCGCCCCATCCACGCATCTCAGTCAGGATTCACCAGTTTTCCCAATAAGTTTCTATAGAACAAAAGGGTTTGGTCCACAATAACAAGTGGTATTTATTTCTCCCCACTTCTTGAGTATTCTTCACTCTGGAACACTTCCTCAGTTTTTCTTTGATTTCATGCTTTAACACTTCTGAAAATTAAAGGCCAGTTACTTTGTGAACTGTTATTCAACTTTGATTTGTCTGTTGTTGCCTTAAAATTAGATTCAGGTTTTGCAGTTTTGGTAGAAGTGCCACAGAGGCGGTATTTGCCCTTCTCAGTGTGTCCTCTCAGGTGAAGCACACTTTCAATGTGTCTCAACATGGTGTGTTTGATTGCTTGATTTTGTGGTGTCTGCCAGGTTTCTTCACTCTACAATCACTTTGTTCCCTTCTTTGTTATTAATGTTTTGGGCGAAGGTTGAGACTAAGTAAATATCCTGTTCCTCATTAAACTTTTATCCATCAGTTTTAGCATCCATTGATATTTCTTGACTATTTCATTATTGCTATAGTGTTACCAAATGGAGCTTCCGTGATTCTATTTTTTCTTTTACATTTATTGGCTGTCATTCTACTATAAGAAACAGCTTTTTATTTTCTGAAATTCTGCAGTCATTTATTTTTATATCATTGGGCTATAATCATGACTATCATTATTCATTTTGACCCTTTAAATTTTCCCAGGTTGGCCATTAAGAGCTCATTCAAGGTGACTTCCATGTCATTATAACCTCATAGTTCTTTGAGAATTTTTTTTTACTTCCTGTTACAGCAAAATGTTCTAGGGTTATCTTATACATTCCTTGCCTCCATTTCTAGAATCAGTTACTTCTCTAAGAAATTCTGTTCTTTTTTCCTGGAGAGTGTGTTACTTTAGAAGCCAAGATCTGCCTGCTACGTGATTATCGTTATTAGGATGTCACTCTCTCAGCCAACTCTGAGAGCAGAGCTAGCAAAATAAGTATGCATATACATATGGGCACACACCTATATTGATATCTATATTTAATTCCATTTCTCTCTATATTTGTCTACCTATCATCTATCTACCTCTATCTATATCTCTATATCAATACCTATGTATCGATCATCTATCTATGGGGTCATGCAACTACTTCCAATCCTAATCCCATACCAAAAGGCTCATTCTAGTATTTTCACTTCTCATATTTGTAACTTCCTTCTCCCACAGTGAAGAATATGGATTCCATTATCTTCAGTACACTTACTTATTTGTGATTGATCAAATGCAAGCAATCTCCTATTGCCCAGGGACCACAGCCTGGCCATTGCTACTCTTATCCCCACCGCAGATGCCCACCTACCCTGACTTGGCTCTATCACTGTGCCCTGTCTGCCCCTTCCATCCCTTCAGGCAGAACCGCCCCCACCTTCCAGGCTTCAGTACCTCACTCTAAGCTGCTGCAGCCACCATTGCCAACACAGCTGCTCTCTGTACCCTGCTGTGTCCACCCTGTACTAACGTGGAATGCCCTGTACACACTCACACTGATGCCCACCTTGCTTCACCTCACCCAGTGACTTTTGACTAAATTTATGGCAGGCAGGCACCCAAGCAGATAGGAAGGATGATAGGAAGGCTAATCCTTTCTTTTTAAACTTTTAAGTGTGGTTTCCAATTTGAGACTCTTATAAATAGCTTTCCTGTTATAGATCATAATTTTTAAAAAAAGACAAATCTGCTATATAATTATTTCCCTCCTTACTTCCTGAGACCATGAATAAAATTAATATTCTCAGCTCTTCTCTCTCAGCCTTCCAGTTATCTACCAAAACCTTAGGAAAATATTAGACTTATAGTATATTGCTTGGGTGGAGGCAAGATGAAGTGAGCAGTGTCACTCCTTAGCTTGATTTTAGTGAACAATTCTGTCAGGGTCTTCTGTGTAACAGTTTACCCATAATTACTTTGCCTCAGCAGACTTTAACCTGCAACAACCCAAAGTCTTAGTTTTTGCCATTTCCATAATAACTGAACAAAGTTCAGTCACTTCAATTTCTTTTAATGTCAAAATAAGTCAAGTGATTACATTAAATTAAATTCCCCAATATTGTTTAGGATCATTTAAATGAACATTTGAGAAGTTCATCCTTACTTTAATGCCATAAGAATTATAAAAGAACTGGTTATATATTACTTCTTGCTTTGACTCTTTTTACTGTGATGGTTATTGTTCCTCTTTTTATTTGGTGGAGAGAATTTACCTCAGGAAAAAAAATACTCTGGAAACTCCCATAAAAAGAACCTTGACGTCAATTAAGTTATTTCCCAATTATTATTCATTTTTCCTTATTAAGATAAATTATAACACCGTATCACAACAAAATATCTACCACAAGCTCAATTTCTGCAGAAATCTATAAAATCATAAATTTCTTCATCTTATGGTCTTTATTTTGTGCAAATTTCTATGAACACAGCCTCCTACCATTTGTTACATTTCCTAGTTGCTAGAGAAGTATCTTGTTACGTTTGCATTACTGACGTGTGAGTTAAAAGATATGATTCATTCTCACTTCCAATTCCTTTTGGATAAATCAAGTATAAGTAAATCTGCATTCCTGAAACTCTGTCCCATGGAATACAGGTCTCAACTGATGGCGTATGAAAAACTAAAGAGGGGGTTGGTGAAGGATTATGCAATAAAATAAATATTGGAATGACATTGCTAATGTTCCCTCTTAAAAATTCACAAAGCACATTAGCATAATACAGACAGACTCTGGGAAGCACGGAAGTAATAAATCGCTTTACTTGCTCAGTCCAGACTTTCCCAAACCTGCTGACATGGTATCAACATGTGTGAGCATGTTTATGTGCCTAATACCCTAGTAACAATCCAAGCAAGTGGGTTTTACATAACACACTTTGCCCAACACTAACTTTTATAAGTGGCAAGATGTGTTTTATTGTTTGCAAATAGGAAATTGCAAAATTTGCAAAATTTTGCAAATTGCAAGGAGAGGACCTCAGTTGCTGCCAATTGCTGCAGAATTACATGGGACGATCCAGTCTGACAGTCTGTAAACACAGGAAGGATTTTCCAGTGCCTAGGTGAAACATAAAAGCTGATTATTTAAAGATCATAGGCAAACTTGCATTTTATTTAAAACCAGGACAGAAATAGAAAGACAAAGATCATGTTGTGATAGTTCTAAGCTTCAGCTGGTGCTTCTTTCTTTTTCAGCTGGGCACCAAAGAAGGCTACCTCACCAAACAGGGGGGCCTGGTCAAGGTAAGGAGGCATGTGTTGGCTAGTGCTGGTCACAAAGGAAGAAAACCTGTCATGCACACTCAGTTCTTACTTTGACACTTAAGTAAAACATAACTGCCTGCCCGCTTCAACCCAGTTATAACATTTACCTGTTTCTGGAGTTCATCTTTATGGCCATTAGTTAACATTCTGGAAAGTTACTTGACTATTCTTTAACAAAGTCAAATGTATCAGAGTAGCCTACAGTTAATGTCCAAGAAAAAAATACAACCCTTTTTTAATGGTATAATGGAGGATGAAAGTAGCGAGTTAACTCTAGCATATTCCTTTAAAAAAATTTTAAACAAAGAATTTAAATTGTATAAAATGTTACTTTAAACTAAGCAAAAAACATCACTGGCATTAATGTAACTATGTTTTAAAAAACCCCAAAGAAAACACAATTTAGGGCTTTACTAGTCTGGAAGTCCAACTGTCCCTCAATTTGTGAGATGGTGTTTTCAAAGTTACTCTGTCTCATTTAACTGTGCCAAGAAGACCTTCATGAAATATCTCTATTTTAAGAGTCAGGGCACTTAATATCTCTCAAAGGTATTTCCCTGCTTGAACTGAACCTGTATGTTTAGTTATATGTGTCCCTACTAGACTAGATGCCCCCTAAGAACACGAAGTATTCATTTCCATAGCAGATTTGTTTTTAAATCCATTGCTATTACTTTTAACCAGGCACACTGGCATTCAGGGTAAGAAATAAAGGATGGTGGGGAACCACAGTTTTTGTCATCAATGTTGTGGAATTCTTAGACAAGGTTTAGAGTATCATGTGGTTAGAGGTTCCTAAGCCTCAAATTTTTACAAAATAAAGATAATATTTGGCATTGTAGAGGGAAGAGGGGTGGAGGTGGGGAAAGGGTGGGAAATGGGGACATCTGTAATAGTGACAACAATAAAAATAAAGAAAAAATATTTGGCATTGTATAAGGATTGGCTATAATATACAGAAACATCCAAGGGTAATATGTAGCCCACATCAAATGCTCAAAAAATGATACCTATTATTATTATTACAGAGTTCATAAGATGGCAGCTTCAGTGTTTGTCATAAGATACCTTGAATACTTTTGATTGGCTGTTTCTTTTTATGTGTTTAAATATGCAGGTGATACCCCTGCCTTTATTATTAGCTTAATGCACAAAATCGTTTTCATTTTTGTAGATATTTTGAAACTTTTTTACAGAAATGACACCTACCACAAGAATATTTTATTGTATCTAACGGTTTAGATATTTTTAAAACAAAAGGGAATGATCTCATTCAAGTATTGCGTTTCTGTTTTCAAAACCCACACATTCTGATTATTTTCCTCAGACCTGGAAAACAAGATGGTTCACTCTGCACAGGAATGAACTGAAATACTTCAAAGACCAGATGGTGAGAAACATGATAATACATTTTCCCTTTAAAAATCAGCTCTCTAGATGAAAGGAACATGTGCCTTTAAAATGCCTAAAATTTTCCTTGTGAGCACCTGAAACACCTGCTAAATGAGTGAAGGCATGAGTTCTTGATTCCTGATGTGACCCATGTTCTTTTGCAAAGATGAGATGTGTGTCCCAGAAACTGCTCTGTGGGACAAGCTAAACTGTATCAACTTTTGCAGCAATTTCCTCCTTTGTTAAAAGCATGCCCATTTCCCATGTCCATTTCATTAAGCCAATTTAAATTTATTTTGTTTCCTCTCACTTTCCCTCTACAAAGTTTCTGAGAAAGTTGAAGTGTCAAGACATAAGAGAAAAATGACTCCCTTCCATGTATTAAAATCGATCTCCATCAAATTAAAATTAATAAATCAATGTCTTCTTAGTACCCAGTTTCATGAAAAACCAACTTCCAAATCAGGGATGCGTTACTTCCCTTAGTAGACTTTCTATTATCTGTCCCCATGGAGAAAACAAAATTGACAGTTGCACACAGTGAAAGATTCATTAGGGGAATAAGTGATGAACAGATTTGTGTGTTTTTTGAATGACAGGTTGTTGTTGTTTTTTAAGTCTCCAGAACCAATTCGGATCTTGGACTTAACAGAATGTTCAGCTGTACAATTTGATTACTCACAGGAAAGGGTAAACTGTTTTTGGTAAGTTGTTTCTTAAAAGAAATATTTTTGAAAGTCTTCTTGCCACTTATTTTAGCTGAGGAACAAAACCTGTGTGTCTTCATGGGTACAGCTGCTTTGGTCTGAGTGACGTGAGTGAGCCACCACACCGGGCGCTCGTGGTGGGATCATCGTGTGTCTGCTGGCACGATTGGTTAGCTGTACACAGTCCATGTACAGTAGACTTAGGAGGACCCCATTCACATCTTAAACAGCTTTATTCATTTGGAGTTTTCTCCTCTATGAAAACTTTGTTGACTCCGGTGATGGGTGATTTGTATTGTTAGGACAATTTCTGGAAAATGGCACAAAAGTGTTTTGCTCTAACATAATCAGCGTAGCATGACAATTTTCTAACTGGGAAAAGTAAAGTATCCTGAGGAAGAGGTGTCTTATTTGCCACCAACTTTTATTTTAAAGTTTTCAAGCATACCAAAGTTGATAGACACATACCCATAAAGCCCTCACCCAGATGCATCCGTTGTTAATATTTTCCCATATCTGCTTTCTCTCTGTTCACTTTCTTACACCTGAACCATCTGAAAGTGAGGCGCAGACTTCATGGCACTCCCCCTGAATACTTCAATGTGCATGTCCCCAGAATAAAAACATCACTCAGAGAACTACAATACTATTATCACACCAAAAAAATTAACATTAATTCTACAGTATTAAACAAGAGTGGATATCTTTTTAAATTTGCATAAAGAAACTATATAAGCTAGCAGGGGTTTATCGTGTTCATCTAACAAAATGTAGAGAGAGAGACAGGCAGCTGTCCTGACAATGTCAGGCCCCGTGTCTCTACAGTCTTGCTGGTCGGTTCCTCCTGCTCGCTACTGCAGGGCTCGTGTAAGTCATGACAGAAGGTGTAGGGATGGCACCAGCCACGTCCACCCGTTTTTATCAGGAAGGCAGACATTCTCCCAGAAAGCCTCCGATCAAATGTCCCCTCTCATCTCATTGGCCTGGACTGGGCCCCATGGCCGTGGCCAGCAGCAGAGGAAGATAAAAAAGGGAACTAGCATGATTATAATTAGCTTCAACTAATTCTATTATACCACGTGGAGTTCTGTTAGTAAAAAGAAAGGAAAATATTATCTGTATTAATAGTCAATCAATAATATCTCCCACAGGGAGTGCCAAACAATGACAATTCCAGAAACCAGTTTTGTACAGTGTGTGCACAATAGCACTTCCTACCCCTGCACCACCCCCTGCTCCTCCCCCCCCCCCCCCACACACACACTGTCCACTGACCAGAACTCACATCAGAGTGTACCTTCTGTTCACAGGGGCTGATCTCCCATAGACTCGACATACATTACTGATACAAACAAAATATTCTGCTTGGGTTTTAGGATATAGAAACCTTTCTGAATTTCAGCTCAGCACTTTTTTTAAAATAATCATAAAAGGGAAAAAGATTTTTGGCATATTGCATCTCAATGGTAAGGACAGAAAGTACTGGCAAGGTGTAAGCTACCTTATTAGTCAAACAATTTTGTCTCTACAGGCAAAGAGACAATCAAATGAGCTACCATGATCCTAGAACAAGTCTTTTATACTAGTAGGAAAGTTCATCTTCCCTCCAGCAGAGACTGACTAACTCACGGCCAGAGTGGGCGGAATGACAAACTAGCTAAGGAGTTTCGTTGTCTGTGTCTCCTGTCCTCCACATCTAACTCTGCCCACATCCACAGCAGGCAGCCTTTTCCTCATTGAAGCAAGTTCACCCAAGTGAGCTCCTTCATCAAGCTTTCTTTTTTGTCTGCTTATTCTTTGAAACATAGCACAGATTTTGAGTCATTTTATAGATAAGCTGAATAAATATGAAAGTCTAAGTATTGTATTCAGTCTAAGACAAAAGGATATGGGGGTGTCCTGGACATTTTTTTCTCTTCTTTAAATTCTAATTAGAAAATATAAATCTGGCCCACAGTGATAATATGAATATACAGCATCCTTGACATTTCTGCAGAGTGCTGGCAGAAATAGCTCCATATACACCAGTTCTCAGATCACTCCCCCAGGCCTTTTGTCTATTCTTGTTTTCTTGGAATACTGTAATTAGTGTTCAGCTAATGTATATTCAGTTAACCGCCTGGAGCATCTTACCTTCTTTCTTTTGTTTTATCAGCTTAGTATTTCCATTCAGGACATTTTATCTCTGTGCAAAGACAGGAGTAGAAGCTGATGAGTGGATCAAGATACTACGTTGGAAATTGGTGAGTTATACAAGTTTTCTGGACAGATGCCTAGTACTCTGAAATAGCATGGTGATGATTTGAGACATGTTTCTGTTGAGTCACAGTATCCCTGAGAATCAGTGGAATGTCTACTTGCAGGCTTGTGGAATAGTTCATTCTTCTGGGACATGGAAAGGCTGCAGAAAGGGGTAAACAGAGAAGGGATGAATCTGCACTGAGGTCTTAGCCCCAGAGAGTTTGCCTTGCACCTGAGTGTGTATCAGCCTTCCTTTAAGTGTGCAAACTTGCCCAATTTTGCCTGGAGGAGGACAAGTAGGATAGGAAGGTCAGAGAGAGGAAAGCTGACATGTTTCTACAGTAGAAAGTCCTTTTAAATCAGAGAAGAAAGCTTGCCACAGGAACTTAGCTTAATTTCCAATGTAAGCATTATTTTTTACAGGTCAAGGACAAGAGCTAATTTATTTTGTCTGCTTCCTATATACCTCCCAGGGGGAATATGGAATGCTTATAAAAATTTATCAGTCTCATACATTTTTCGTATGTGTTTGTAAGTCAATGAACTCTTTGCCTAGAACTTGTTCTTAAAGCTTTCTAAAATTTCCTGTAGATATAGTATCTTGAAACCCGTCATATTTTTAAACATACACAATTTTTCCTAATTAATTTGTTATGAAATTAGCTGATATATTGAATCTTGTTGAATCTTCTTTTCTATATACTGGGACTTTTGCTTTTGTTATCTTTTCAGTTTGAAATCCAAGTAAATATACCACTCATTTTAAAATGGCTCCAATATATTTGATATTCAGCAAAAATTTTTTTTGCCATATGAAATCCTTGCTGATAAATGAGTCAATTTTTTATTCTTCCTATTTCATAATCATGCAAGCAATATATAATCATTATAGAAAAATTAAGGTTAAAAATACATCAAATGTACATACTTTCAAACTTTTCCCTGTGCCAATAAATAATTTAAAATAAAATTAAATTATTCTTAAGTGTTCTTTACCTGTTCACTCACTCACCTATTAATATATTATGAACATCTTTTCTTATCAATAAATTTAGTTCTTTATCTTCTTTTGATTCATTTAATAGTATTGCATTTTATGAATTACTGAATTCGGCCAAATCCCAATTTGCACAAGTTTTAGCCATCACTTTACTATATTTCTCTTGAGAAAAATACAAAGGCAAACAAACAAACAAATGAAAACTTAGGAAGGGGGAACATGATTATTAACTTATTGTTGTATGGTTTCCTTATTAATCAGCATGTCTTATTTAATATTTGTTAAAGCCAGAGATAGTTATCTTAAAACTGCTTAATAATACATACACACATTTGTGCATTTTATTACAGTCTCAAATAAGAAAGCAGCTGGACCAAAGGGAAGGCACAATCCGATCTCGGTCCTTCATCTTTAAATAGACCTCTCCTGACCGCTGCCCTGGCCGGAGCAGGGCCGCGTGCTCTCTGATGCCATGATCCATAGCAGGCTGCAGCTAAAAGCTGACTGCGGATTTTTCTTTAAAAACAAATCAGAAGCAGATGCTGATCTGGATCTTTCCAAACACACCACATTTGCTGATGCACGGGGAACTGCTGCCCTTCAGGATGTTCTCATCTCCTTCGGAACACTGAGTGGTCACCCTTCGGATGGAGGAGACCGATGCAGCCGCCACACCCGGTGTGCTCACTCTGAGTACTCACAGTAGAAGATAAAGGGTTTGTGTGTTCCCTCACCGTCGTCCTCAACCTTGTGGACATTATTTGCCCAGAGTCCCACTCTGTGTCATGGTCAGCTTCTCTGACATCCACATTGAGCTATTAACCAGGAAGGAAACGGCTATGTACTTGGAGGCTTAGTCTGCCTCTTTAGAAAGCATATTGAGATAGCAAACGTTAAAGACTGGGTTGGGGAAGGAACAGAGTTATTCTGCTTTTTTTCCCCTTTATACAAAAACCAAAACAATTTCCAAAACTACCATGGAGAATATTTGCAATATTTATTTTCTCTTTATAAAAGGCTTAGAAATCTGGTAGGTTCTTCCTTCCCTTCAAATGGTAAACCTGTGAGAAGTAAATGTCATATGGATGATTAGGTAGGATAATAAAGGAAAGTATAATCTAAAAAAAGAAATATTTTTTCATCATTTTGGAGAAACATGTTTTAAAGAAGGAGAAAACATAAATCGAGGAAGGATAATGAAATATAGATGATGCAGTTTAATGATAATATTATACATATTATTATAACAATAATAGAGCATATGTAAGCACTAAGTTATTTTCACCCAACATTTCTCCAAACAGACTGAAAGAGCCTACTCAACAAGACTGTGTTACAACAGTCCTTTCCCCAGAGTAAACTGTAGGTGTTAGCCCGAGAGAAGTAAGAATCACCTGGCACTGAGATGGCTGAGCACCTTACACCTTATTCGAGAGCAACTTCTGTTGCCAGTTGAGGGAGCAATACCAAATCCTCATGCAGGGTATAAGGGTGTGTTTGTTAGCCGGCATTTTCAAAGTAGAATAAGGGGATTGAAATAGAGAAAGGAGATACTGTCATCCAGAGCTCATAAGTAGATTCTATTATCTTTATTAATACTTCTTTTTTTAGACAGAAGTTTGAAGGGAGAGAAAGTGGAGGAGGAACACCAAAATATAAAGATTATGGTGCAAAACTGTGATACAACACTGCTCTTGCAGTCCAAAGAAATACCTTGTTAAATACGTTTGTCTGTTAAATATCTAGGTTTCAGAAATTACATTAAATTTTTGTATATTTTGAAAAGATGCTTACTGTATTTTGCTATGTTTTTATCATGTGAGATAAAGCAAATGTCAAGTTAAAATGTATGAAGTTCTCAAAGTAAGGAGATACAAACAAACCCTTACTTAAATGTACTGTTTTGTGTTTTGTTTTCTTAGAACCAAGAGAATTACTTTGTGTAGGCAATACTGTTCTTACCTTTTGTAAAATATGTCATGTTTATTTATAGTTTTGGGTTACATTTATTAAAAAGAGCATGATTTTCTTTGCCTGAAATGTTTGCTATTAAAATATATTTTTCCTATCTGTAATTTAAAAGAAATTTAACTTCCTAACATCACAAACAGTAATGAAGAACCCACATCAGTTAGACTATGAGCTACAAAGGATTCAGAGTTGAAGAAGTAGCCTGGGTCCCTGAGAATTTTATTTGAATATAGAAAAGATAATAAAGACGTGGTAATGTATAGATGGTAAATATTGCAGGTGAGGCACATAAAGCCATATGCTGGAGAGTGTGCCACAGTGGTGATAAAGCCATTTCCTTGAGCGTTCGACAAGAAAAAGGCGAGCTAACTTATATCTACTATGTCATTAGTACTACGCTAGATCTTGACCTGCTGTGAGCAGCCCTGAGAAGTAGTTATGATTTCACCCCCTGAGAGGAGGCCCACAGCTCTTTCTGCAAGTACAAGGTGAGGGAAAATGTTTTGTGCCAAGGACAGATCTGAGTGGGGTTGTCTGGGAGAATAGCCAATGCTGTGCCTGTGTCAGGCCATGTCTGCTAACAGGTATTGTGCTTATCATAAAGGCAGTACTTCTTAAGACACAGCCCAAGTAGAGTGGTTGCAGTAGTCCCCCCTTATGTGCAGGGAATATGATTCAAGACCCCCACAGGATGCCTGAAACTGCACATAGTACCAACTCTATAAATACTGTGTTTTTTCTATACATATATACCTATGGTAAAGTTTAATTTCTAAATTAGGCACAGCAACAGATTAACAATAACTAGTCAGAAAATAGAACAATTATAATGATATACTGTAACAAAAATCATGTCTCTCTCAAAATATCTGGCTCTTCTATTTAATATTTTCAGACCATGGTTGAATACTACTACTGTGTTCTCACAATTCCCCCCATGAATATCTTCCCCCACAGAAGCACTGTTTCCTCTGGATTAGGAGAGTCACCCCCATGGTGGGGATGGCTATTCCTGCTTCTGAACCCTGCCCCTCTAGTCCAGAGCCACTGGACATCAGAACACTGAGCAGGCTAGAGCTCTCGTCTTCCCACCCACTTGGCATGTGAGCGAGTGGGCTCTTAGACTCTGGGCGAGTACAGTATTCAGCAGACTTCTGGGCTCAAGCCTACACTGTTCACAATGGATTCAGGCTGTTAGAGCATGAGGTCAATCAGAGTTTCTTAAATCACCTGCGGTGAGGGATCAGCTATTCTTTTTCTTTTTAATTTCAGACTGAAATTTTGTAAAATCCAATAAAAATAAATTATTAGAAAAGTATAATGAAAACATAATATCCGATCCCATTTTTCATTATCAGGTTCTACAATCAAAAATCACTATGTCAAATTGCTGTAAGATTTTACAGCTCATGATTTCTGTACTTATCTTGCCACATACTGACAACAGCCCAGTTTGCAGACCCCATTTGGAGGAGCTCTAGTCTAGTGGGCTGGCAGCTAAAAGGAACCAAAAGCCCTCTTGAGAAAGGATTCACCTGAAGGTAGAGAGGATTGAGGTGTTCATGTTTTATTGATGAGTTATGGACACCCATAATAGAGTGATTCTGAGCACATTCTTGTCTATTACTCTGATGCTCCACAAAACCTAAAGAAATTTTTTCACTAGAGTCTCAAGGGACAGACACTGATAATTTTGTCACATTTATAGCTGTGAAGATGGTACTCTTAGCCTTCAGCAGCCTCTAGGCACCCCTGTCAGCAGCAGCACCAATGGCCACGGTTGGGGTACATGTAGAGATCATCTGGAGAATAGAAAAAAGAGCAAAAGAAATTGGCCAGTGCCATGTGGCATCTGCAAAAACTGGTTTCAAGAGTAAATGTAAAGGCTTTACGGGGAAATATCTGGAAGGCATTTGAGAAGGACTGGGTTTTCCACAGAAGCAGCAAGAATGGAACCAGAGAAGTGGTCCAGTGAGCTCTGGAACCTGTGGCCATTGCCCCAGTTTCCGAGAGCAATATTGGTATAGACATATGCAGTCATTTGCAAAATAGCCGCGTTGGTTTTCTGACCACTGGCATGAAGGCTATTCTGGCAAGAAACAACAAATGTAAACCACTGGAACTGCCTTTACCTAGGAAGAGAGTAAATGGAAAGCAATGGTGAGGTTTCAGAGGTTAGTGCCGCCATCAGACTGGAAGGATCAAGGTGGTGTTTCCTACTTCATTTGGCCCACCTATTTGGCCTGTGCAAAAAATAGATGACTCCTGGAGAATGACAGTGGATCCTCACGGACTTAACCAGGGGTGACTCCAGTTGCCGCTACTGGCCCAGATGTGATAACATTGCTTGAACAAATTCACACCCCCCCTGAGATCTGGTATACAGCTATGGATCTAGCAAATGGTTTTTTCTTTTTCCTTTATACTTATTAGTAAAGAGCACCAGAAACAGGTTATCTGGCATGGCCAGCAATATACATTACACTCTCCTCCCTCAGAGGTATATCAGTTCTCCAGCCCTGTGATGGAATGTAGTCCACAGAGACCTTGACCACCTTTCCCTACATGAAACATTCTCACACTGGTCCACCACACTGATGATATACTGATTGGACATACTGGGCAAGAAGTAGCAACTACTCTAGATTTATTTTTAAGACATCTGTGTGCCTGACAGTGGGAAATAACTCTAGCAAAAAATTAAGGCCTTCTACCTCACTGAAACTCTAGGGGTCCAGTGGTGTGGGACAGGTCTAGGTATCTTTTGTAAGGTAAAGGTTAACTTGATGCATCTGACTTCTCCCACAACCCAAAAAGAGGCACAATACCTCATGGGTCTCTTTGGATTTTGGAGATAATATATTTCTTATTTGCTTATGGAATTCATTAGACCTATCACATTCCCCATCGTCCTGAAGCTGCGGGCCTGAAAGAATGGGGGAATGGCCTTTTGAGGACTCAGGTATCACCACACTACCTGGATGGCAGGCAGCAGCTTACAGGATGGGGCAATGTTCCCCAGAAGCTATGCATGCTCTACATCAACATTTGACACATGGTGCTCTTCCTCCCATAGGTCCAAGAATCAAGGGATGGAAATGTACATGGCACCACCCCTATTAACCCTAGTGACCTTTTGGGCTGTCCCCACATTCTTAGGCTGTGCTGGTGTAGAGGTTTTGTTACAAAAGGAGGAATTCCTCCCTGAGGGGACACAGCAATTCCATTAATCTGCACATTAAGACTACTACTTGGTTACTTTGGGCTCCTCATGTCTCTGAATCAACAAGCAAAACCAGGTCCTGGCTGGGGTGATTTATCCTGAGTGCCAAGGGGAAATTGGGCTGTTACTGCACAGTGGAGGTAAGGAAGGGCATGTCTAAAGCACACATCTCCTAGGGAATCTTCGTACCCCCAAGCCCTGTAACTAAGGTCCATGGAAAGCTACAAAATTCAATTCAGGGAGGACACCTAATGGCTCAAATTCTTCAGAAATGGAGGTTTGCAATACCCTACCAGGCAAACAGCCACGACCAGCTGCTGAGGGCAGAGGGAATATGGAATTAGTAATGGAAGGTGCTTATAAAAACCAGCTGGTCCACACATACAACCACACATACAACCACACATCCAGATGGGAAACAAGGACTGTGATGATTATTTTTCCTCATTTTATGTTTGTATGTACATGTATCAAATATATATTTTATAATATATATTTATAATGTATATAACACACATACATATATTAAGCAATGTCTGTTTTCTTTCCTCTCACCTTCCTACATAAGATACATCACAACCAGTTAACCTTCCATCATAGTATTTACGCTAAAGTATATCATTACTCAAGGACTACACCCTCTTCCAGGGAAAGAAATAACATGTTTTCAGTTATACACTGGATAGCTGTATCATGTTAGACAGGTGTATGACTTAGTTATTTTCATTATTTGTAATTAAACACAGTTTACAGCTGCCAAGCTGCTGAGGATAAACAGTGAATGCTGTGGGTCATTTGGCTAGGCTACCCATTTGCTCAGTAGAACAGGAATGTAGACTTTGCTGTGAAGGTATTTCATAGATGTGCTTAACATCTACAGTCCACCGAATTTAAATAAAGAGATTATCTTCCGTAATGTGGACTGCCTCATCCAATCAGCTGAAAGGTCAGTTTTGCTTGGAGCAAAACTGAGGTTTCCAAGGGGAAGGATTTCTGATGAGACTGCAGTCTGAGTTCCTGACTGAAATTTTCCAGGCTTCTAGCCTGCCTTACAGATTTTGGACTTGCCAGTTCCCACAGTCACGTAAACCAGGTCCTGGAAATAAATCTCACACATAATATCCCACTGGTTGTTTCTTTGACAAACCCTGACTGACACAGCATTCTGCTCCTTATCACCAGTTTATTTTCAGGTTTGTTGTTTGGTAAAATATTTTATTATTTTTGAATAGTTAAAAATTTTCAATTCAATAAAGCTTACAATGAAAGGCTCGTGTCTGGGATATCTGCACCCAGGTACCTAGTCCACTCCTTGGGGATTACCACTGTGACCAGGTTGTGTATCTACGGAGATGCTCTATCACATACAAGCAAATATAAACAGACACACATGTATCTTCCCTTCCTGTAGCATGCCACACGCAGTTTCACACCATGCTTTTTTTCAATCGACATTGTGTCTTAGATCATTACACCTCAGTTCTGATACAGAGAGGTCAGATCAGATCACTGTAGAGGAGGGAGGGGCGGTAGGAGGAGGTTGCTGGAGGCAATAGTAAACAGCCTAGATAGAGATTAGCTAAGAAGCTGAATGCCTCCAGAGTGCGAGGAATTATGGGCCAGAAGATTTAAAATAAAAAGAGGATGCTGGTCCAGCTCTTCTTCCTGGAGGATGCCTGGATGATTGTGCTGCAGCTGCCTGCATTTCGCAAAGGACGGTATAGTAGATGGGAAAGAACTCCGGGCGCAGCCTAGGGCTAGGCTGCCCTGGCAGGGGGTGGCGGGGTTATTCTTTTCTGGTGTTCAAGAGGAGAACGGCTCTGAGGCAGAAGCCTGCTATTCTTCC